AGTTTCAGCCTTCTAGCTTTTCTGGTTCTCGAGTTGAAGGTGGGTGACAAAAAGTGCGAACACACACACACACACGCACAGACAGCCTTTTCCCAATATGCATTTTTGCAATTTGCATATATGCAAAAACGTATAAAAATCACCCGTGAGAGTTTTCTTTGTGCATTTTTTGCACGAAAAGAACTCTGATGTTTATTAAGCTAAGCACACGAAACGGCAAATGAGAAATTTAACTGATGAAATTGCAGAGCTGTTGATTGATCCCTAGTCATGCTGCATCAAAAAACAAGAGTGTCTGTCCAGTTAGTAATGAATTCCGTGTGCTTGATGTTTCCTTTTCACATTTACTTTTGAGCGTTTTTGCGTTGAAAGTGCACTTAGATGGGTTATTCGTTATAGGTATGCATATATATATATATATAATGCATATTTCTTATAAATAATTATACATATAAGATATGCATAATGAAGTTTATAAATAAATATATGTATAACAAATGATTCGTCGAAGGTAGAGAAGGGGAAAATGGTGCCCGCAAGAAAGCAAATGTTCACTGGGTAGTCCTCATAGAGATGACCGACATACATCGAATAAGCGATGGTTCCAACTGGATCTGTGCAGAGCAACGCCGGCGGTTTGTAAGCGCCCCAGTAACATCACTAACTTGGAATACCCATATTCATTATCCGGATGGTCTTAACATCTTGAAAATTATTTAGCTTTATACTTTGATTAGTTCTCCCTACATCCTTGTGCGTCCTTGCGCTTCTGATGTAGCCAACAATCTTTCCGTAATCGCGATTGAAACTGCGCTGGCGGGTGTTCAGTCAATTGTGGTTCTGGCGTTCACTACTCCGGTCACCTTCTTTTGGAAGAGAATGCTAGATGTTTCTTGTTTCCTTTGCTGCCTTGGTGCTTTTTTCGCTCATGCTACTAACGATCTTTATTTTGCCGCTCTATAATGCCCATCAAGGTTTGACTGCATGGAGGTTTTTACACACTCGCACTGTGGGGCAACAAATACACTTGGGGCAGGCGAATTTAATAGTTCTGAAACGAAGCACTGGCACTTAGAAAGAACTACTCGGTGCTGCTTTTGTTGTAGGCGGAAGCAGCGAACGGTAAGAACGCAGTCACTCAACCCCTCCTTCCTTCGCCTTGCCAGGCGAAACAAAGTGTAGATATGAATTATAAGTGATTTTTCATACATTTACGCGGTCCCTCCCATACTTCATAAGCACTTTTCACTGCAGTGCAGTGTACTAGGATTAGTTTTGGAGCCTCATATCTCGAAACGCCATCGACACGCTGCTTAAATTAAAACGTGGAAACCGCATGCAAATCGCAGAGTCATCAGTGAACAACATAGTGAGCATAACGAATTTATATTTTTTTTCAGGCTTGATTGTCTCGTAAAAAAAGCGAATTGATCAGTAAACGTGATTATCCAGATTCTGCTGTGCACATATTCGAAGCATTTAGTAGATGCTTGGGATGACTCAACAGCTAACTGCTTATGAATAAATGCTAGCGCCCTCACTGAGCGCACTCATTGTCATGATTGCTATACTTGACATGGTATGAAACAATTGGCCTCATTTCTGACCATTTTTTGAAGACTAGAGAAATAACAGCTTATGTAGGCTCTTGGATTCAACAACATCTAAAAATGTTTCTTCGTTTTGCGAAACTCCGCTTATGATTGGCTGAAAACGGAGTCCAAAAATTCTGATGAGTTACAGGGACAGGCTGTGTAAGCAAAAGTAATGAAAATTCGAGTTAGTATTTATATCAATGGAAATCTCTGGTATGTTGCTAGACAATTTCATGATGATATTATGATAAAAACAAGTGGGGAGGTCATCCACTAGAGTAAAAATCTCTTAAAATTTTTGAAAATATGAAATTTACCTATGCAGAAAGATTCGACGTCAGTGAAGCAAATAAACAGTTATTTTGAGTAGTATTAACGTGTACAGTTTTTTCAAGTGATGCAACGAATAATGTACAAAGTGCTATTTTAAGGGAAACGCTCGGCGAAAAAAATGTCCGGATGGGTTTTGGAAAGAAGGCGCAATAATCCAAGCGCTGATGAAGAATTATACAAAAATGCTGCCTGAAACTGAAGATGCTGTGCAAGTGGACATCGAAATACATGTACAGGTTGTGTTTCCTGAATTTCTGATGAACTGGAAGATTAAGTAGTTATCTGATTTAAAAGCAAGGAAAAAGCTATAGGTCTGGTTACTTACTGCTGTAATCTAGAATATCTCAGCTTCTCACATCAATACAAAATGCACTGTAAATTACATTAGAAAATTTACTGCAGAAAATCTCTGGATATTTACTGGATGAAGCTAAACTGAAAAAGCTGTTTAGCTTTCTCAGCTTGGCTTCATCCAGTAGTAAAAATATGCAAAACTGTCTATAGCCGGAGACGAACAGCCAGAGTGAAGTTTTAAGGGAAAAATGAAGCAAGTTTCAGGATGTTTCGGCACTGAATGAAATCACTGCAGATTTCGATGTGGATATATTGTACACTCAGCTGTGGCACGATCAAGCGCTAAGCTTCGCAAACTACAGCGCTTGTAAGCACAATATTACAATGGAATCCAAGTAGGTCATTTAATCGGTCTTCGTAGTTTGATTCTTGGTCTAAGGACTTGTAATTTCACCGAGATTTCAGCTGTGTCTTTCAAGCTTTCGAAATTTTCATGTTTGGGGCGCCCTTTATTTATAGCAGTAATGCTCAAAACCGATACTGGTGGTTTTGCCTGCGTGTCTATGCATTTGATAGAATTAACTTCATTGAAATTTTTCTGTACACTGGAAGCATCAGAATCGCCATCAAGCTGATTACAAGTGACGCTGCATTGGTGAAAGGAGTCGGAAAATTTTCAAGCTGCATAGTTTGAGAAGCAAAACTACGAATTACAGCTGACCCAAATGTTCCAATTTTGTCAATCAAATTTTAACTGCAGAACCACTAATTTGCTAGATGCTGTCATTCTGAATGATAGGATGTTAAATTTAGGCACAATGTTAAATGCAATAAATGCTATCGAGAAACCACCGACGTATTTTTGTGTAATTCCAACTTCCAAGCTTTTCATCTGTGCAAATCACTTATTCGTAGGTGCATATGTAAGTAGACACGCACTGTAATCAAGAGTTATTTGAGTCGGAAATGTCAAATTTAGGTGTAGTCTCCTCATTTTTGAAGCTTTGAGTGTGGCAATGAAAGAAATATTTACAGCTAATCCAGTGATCAACTGCATAAATTTATTTGCAGGCTGATATCACAAATTTGGACGCCAAATACATGCATAATCAATGCGAAGCGAACGGTGATACATTCCTCGCCCACTGATAATATTATGTTCATTTTGTATGAAGTAAGTAATACAACAATTTTTACGCGTTTTTGCTGTGAAGCGCTACGGCGCTGCTATAGCGAGCAAAAACGCATATTGTCGAGAGGTCTTCTGTGTTTGTGTGTGTGTGTGTGTCCGGAAGTGAGCGAACTTTGTCACCCACTTTCATTTCAGCAACCAAGAAAGCTGGAAGGCTAAAATTTTGGGCATATGTTTCTGTCGCATGTGTCATCCTTTCGTTTTAAAATTTTTGCTCATACGGGCCTAGACCTCGCATACGGACCTCCAAAGGAGTACTTTGGCGGGAAACGACTTCGCGGGCCAGACAAGGTATAAAACTGAAACTTTGCAGGGATATTCTCCGTGCATGTGCGAGCTAAAGATTTCAAATTCACTTATCGCGCACGTTTGTGCAAAGCATTTAATCATGTCAAAATTTGCACTTGGCACTGTCTTAACTCGAAAACTAGCCGGAAAACAGTAGCTGGAATAAATGTCAAAATATCTACCGTCCGTATGGGAAGTGTGCACCTAAACTGAGTTCTAACTCGCAATTGCGCCACGACTTAGAGCAATTTAATGATATTTTTGGCGGAGTGGCTATTTCGTTTACCGAATAAAGTGCGAGGCTGAAAGTTCACTGGGATATTGTACTTTCACGCATGGTCTTAATCCAGTCTCGAGTTGAAATTCCCTGCGGATGGGTATGAGAAATACTCAATTTTATCACAAGCTCAAAAGCGAGTGCGTTTTACAAATTTCACAGTCTTCTTTCGTCTTCTTTCAAATTTGCATTTTTTCAATGAGCAAGCATTCGCCGAAAAAACAACCAGGCTTCATTCAAAAAACTGGTGATCGTGTACGCTGGAAGTCCATGCGGCTCTATAATGCAACACCTTCATCCCAACTGACGCTTTTTCTCTCTGCATGCGGCTGGTGATCGAAACACAGCCAGTGTGAGTCAAAGTGTTAAACTGCAGCGCGGGGAACATCCCTGCTGTCAACAGTCTGCAAATTTAGTGTAAAAACGCATGATCGCATCAGCAAACCTGGTGCATTCCAGCCTGGGTTTTTCACATTTGTGCAAATGTAAAAGCGCATGCTGACGAAAGGTTGTCAGTGTGTTTGTGTGTGCATGTATATATATACATATA